CAATTCGAGGTATTGCACGCATTTTTCGGCTCAAAAATGGATTTTTGGCGATTTTATTGAAGAAAATAAGGTTTTTAAAATAATTTTTAAATTCATTTTAATTAAATCGGACGGCGGCAATGGGCCACGTGGCGCGATCCTAGCGGTCCATCCGAGCCGCGGCAGCGATCAGACAGATGGTGGCCCAGGACTGGCTCAGCGGTCTAGGGCAATGATTACGGCGGGACCCACCACCACTTAAACGAGTCAGCACGGACACTGAACGTCCGATCTTGTGCGGTTCGAGTGGACGCTCCAGATGTCGCCACGTGGCGAGCGGAAATGCGGAGAGGAAACTCTCGATCACGGCCGTCGATCGCGAGATCGACGTCTGAGATCGGCCCTGGCTACTCGGCGGCGTGATCCGAAGCCCTAATGGGTTTTTTGGCAAAATGTCTCAATCGGGTGGATCAAAATCTTAAACCTAGATACTAGGCATGAACAAAAATCTTGGGGAATAATTTTACGGAATAATATCAACCCATATGGAAAGTTAAATACCTCTATGTGTTCTAGCTAGGGTTTGAGATATACCTCGATCCACACGGTGGATTCAGAAGATTTTGGGCTTGTTGGACTCGTGGACTCCTCACGAACAAATCCTTAGTTGACCTCGAACCTTGATTCACCTTGGATCGTCAAGGAATCAACTTGGAAGGTATGGAGTCTCGGTCCGACAGAGATCTCATCGCCGGCGGGGTCTTGGCGGCGAGATTTGGTCGAGAAAGGTGAGGGGAGATCTCTAAAGCTCAAATCCAAGAGATCTCGGGTTTTGAGCATTTCCTCAGAGAGAAAAGAGCAAAGATCCCTAAAACGACCTAAATTTCACTATTTAAACTCTTCTCTCTCTCTTGGACGGTGGAGATGAGATGAAGCCTCAAATCTAGAGCGAGAGTTAGTTATTTAGGCGGGATTTTGAATTCTAAAATGCTTGGAGGCATTAATCCCATTAATTAGCCTTTAATTCTAATTAAATTGGCTAATTTTGACCTATTTAGGACTTGGGTTAACCAAGTCATTGGCTGACCTGGTCAACCCAGTCAAAGGGGTCAAGGGGCAAGTGGGATCAAGACATGAAAGAGTTGATTTGGATTTGAATTCGATTTGAGCCCTTAATGGTCCTAATGGGTCAAAATTGACCCATCAAGACTTGGGTTGACCAAGTCAAAGGCCAGTCCACCATGCCCATGTCTGGGCAAAAATCAAGGTCATCAGTCACCAAAACTTACAAATGAATTCAAAGCATTATAAATGAGCAATATGCATGTCAATTGTCAAATCATATCAGTTGCATCCATATGATCATTGAATCAGTGCAAAAAAAGAGTAAAATTTACATGCAATAGTAAGATAATTTATTAATAGTAAAATACTATAGTACAAAAGCTAGTAAAACAGTGAACTAATACGAGTGTAAAATTTATAAAGCAATCGTCGTATCCATAATATCAATCAATATTAAAATCATATAAAGTATCAAATCAAAACATTGATAAAGACTGTTGAAATTATATTAATGCAATAAATTCATATAAGAGTGTACAGATGATATTCAGGTATTATATATCACGTGCTCAGTATATCACATGGTTAGTATAAATACAGTGAATCGGTAATACTAAATAGTATCAATATCTAACTTAGTAACAATAACAATTCAGTGGTATGAGCAGTATAATAATGCAATAGCAGTAAATCCGTGCAATAATAAGAACAATTCCTTAAGAACATATATTTCAACAGTTACACTAAATAAGTAAGAAGTTCTTACTATCATAATAATTTTTAGTGTTAATATCAATTTTACTAAACCATTGGCTCAGTAAATAGAGTTGTCGCTCTTTACATGTCGGCATAATAATGATCTTCTTATAACTCTCAATCAGTGTGTAATGTGAATTACTAGAGGATCAAACCAAATCACAGTATTTAAAGAAAAGTCTGTCATCCCACCATCATGTATAAGTCAATCAATCTCCAACCAATGGGTCAATCAATTTTTATTTGTTTATTTCACATACGCATATTATTATTATAATACTATAACAAATAATAACGACCAACTATTGTTCAACCACATATTTACGTTCATTTTCAATGTAATGTAACAAATAATGTATAATTGAACTTAACTAATAAGATGTCAAAATATCATAATGATAGACAACAAAGAATCCTATTTAATATATATATATATATCATATAATATTTAATTTAATTAATTCTTTACTATAAAATTTAAATAAATCATTTTAGTACTCCAAAAATTATAAAAAAATATCCATAAAATAATTCATGTTATTTAAAAAATATCGGTAAAATTGATTTTCCCAATATACACCTGACGATCCCAAAACCCGCATTTGCATCATAGGTACCAATTTTTTAAGGATTTTCACCGGTGTCAAAAAATTATGAAAAAAATTGTAAGTAAAATACTATAATAAAAATATAATGGTGAAGACATGATTTAAAGTTATAATGACTTCAGAAAAAATTTGGCAAAGTCAAAATACTAGCTATTACAATCTACCCATCTTAAGAAAATATCGTCTCCGACATTTTCCTTAAAAATTCGGGCACAAAATTGATATAAATCAAATTCGTCTAATCAAAACTTAAATCAACTCAAAATTAAATCAAAACTCATAAAAGAATCATACAGTTATGCAATTCATTCTATGACATGTCATTCAATTATACATGCAAACTAATATACCTTAAACTACTCATCATACCCAACTTTAAAATGTTAAGATTTAAATAATATAGAAACTTAACGAATATAAGGAATTGCCATAATCGTTCAGGGTTGCATACATATTATTGCATTTCCTCTCTCCTTCTAATAAGACACCTCCCGGGCGCCTGTGGGTAGAGTCCGGATAATCTGGCCTATGAGGATGACGTGTTGGATCTGGGGAGGCCTAGTCTTTTCTAAAAATTTATTTTCTATAAGTCTGTTTTTAAAATCTTATGCATACCTGATTTGTAGACTTCAATTAGTATATATTGCATTAGTAACTAACTAAATTAAAATTTAATTGCATTAGCTAAGAGCATTCACCCAACATAAATATAAGGCCACTTAGGGGCTCTCTAGATGTTGTCCTTAACTTTCAAAAACTACACCATCCACCCATCTTTCATAAAAATGTCTGGACAACATGGTTTTGAATCGTTTAGGTGGTTAGCTGGCTCCCCAATCCAGGCCGGGGTAAGTCCAGGTTTTGCATTACATTAGTTAGGACACGGGTGTTAGTGTGCGTAGAACACTAAATCCAACTTAAATTTATGATTCAATGCTACTACATTCGGTCTCGTAATACACCTAAATGGTAGGTATGTCTCCTTCTTTTCCTGGAGCTGTAAACCCTACCCATCCGCGTCACTGGATGACGCCACCTCCATCCTTCTCCCATGCATGCGTTGAATGCTTGATTTTCTTTTTCTCCAGTTTTCTCTCACTACCCTAGTCCCTCCGAATGCTAGTATGAACCACGTATGTTGACTGAGCAACTTGAACCTTTCTATCCCTTTGAGTAGGACTTCCTAGTCTTCACCCTTGTGCCAATTCCATTTTGGGAAGGATAATGTAGAATCTTTTTTATTATTATTATTATTTATTTATTTATTATTTTTTATTTTTTATATAGATAATCCTTAATCGAGAGTGTTTTCGGATTCCTGTCCGAGATGTAATTAATCACGGGGGCTTGCACCCGTGGGAAACTAAATCCCACATCAAATAAACCCTACTCGAGTTGATGTATCGGGAAGGGAAAACTCGTTGTTTTGATAAGGTCGCATATATTACTATCCATCGGAGTGTGTTGGCTAAAGCCTCTATCCTCAATGGTTAGTCATATGTACGATCTAATATGCCCTCCCATTGGCCTGTTTGCGAGAAGCACGGAGGTCTGCGATTATCTCTACCCCTCGGGGTGGTGCGGTCGTGTACCTTTTGCACTCTGCAGTCGGCGGTATTTCCTTTTGGAGCTCCACATTCACCTTTTGCATTCTCGGGGTCGAATTATCTTTTTAGTTCCCTCTTAAAGTTCGTGAAAGAAGACATGGCATATAACCCCATTTCCATGTCTTTTTCCTCCACCAAAGTGTGGTGATATCCGTGAAGTAGAGAGAGATGAACTATATCTTGGCCTTCTCATCTACCATGCATCTCCCTGAAGTATTGCTCTAATCCCCATAAGAAGTTGTCTACCTCCTTGGCATTGTGTGAACCCCTGAAACTGTAAGGTAGGATATTTATGTATGCCCTCTTAATTTGCAATGTTCTTTTGGTCATAGTAGATGGGTTTAACCCTATTTTTATTTTTGATGATTTTAATTTCTGAGTTTTTTCTCTTTCCTAAATCTAATAAAATTGCATTATCTTCAAACATAACAAACATTCAGAATATAACTTTTGATATGACATAGTTATATTCATTTAGAACATTTTGATATGATTATATGGAGCTTTCACCAAGTAATTTTGCATATATATAATATTTCATTTAAAATGATACGAATAAAGACACACTATTAGGTATTATTTATGACTTCCACATTTATTCTATTAGATCTGACATGATATGCATTTTTTTATAGTTCTTCTGACATGACTTGCATTCTAACTTAAATATGTTAATAGATTATGCATACTGAAAGGTATACTAAATATATCAACTATAGTTCATTATATGTGATAAGTACATGATATGACATATGTGTGTATCTACAAAAAAGACTCACTAGAGAAATGATACACATCAACTTAATTGCATAAATAACTTATTGGATCTTCTAAACTAATATGTTATCCATTTTCAGTCAAGCTTTACCAACACCTAAAACATCCAAAGGTTCCCCAACAACCATATTAATATTTTCATGATTCACAACAACCTAATTTTCTAGAATTTTATGATGTGTTGTAATGTGAGAAGTACTTGAATATCTTTTTACATAATGCTCACATACATTAAATATTCTAAGTGCTCCAATCAAATGAACTTCTTCCCGAACAATGTGGCGAAGCGTTACAAAGAAAGCGAATGGCTACATAAATAATTTACTAAGAAAAATCTCAATTGTGCTGTACAATCTAAATATACATAGGTTGTTCAGCTATAAAGCTCAGTTCTACTCCATCCAGCTTCCTTTCTCAACCCTCTCTTGTCTATTGACATTCTGAAATCTCTAGCGTCTTTCCACTTCCCTAAAGAAGCAGATATACCAGCAAGTAATACATGATTCCCTGTGCTCTCTCCCTCCACCTCCCACTTACTGGGCAAGATATTTTCTCCAAGAGCACCATTACAAGCTCTTAATGCACTAAGAAAAGGACTCCATAATTGACTTCTTAATTGAACCGGTACTTGACCGATGAATTCCAAAGATGAATCAATGTATCCTGCTCTGCTCAAAAGATCTACCATACATGAATAATGTTCTTTGCTAGGTTCAATACCATATTGCAGTTGCATACTTGTGAAGCATTTCAAACCTTCCTTAACCAAACCACAATGGTTACATGCTGATAAAACATCAGTAAAAACTACTGCATCTGGCTTAATGCTTTTGTCCTTCAGCATCTCCTTAAACAGAGCAAGTGATTCTTCTCCCTTGCCATTAAAAGCATAGCAATTTATCATGGAGCTCCATGCCGCCAAGTCCTTGCGAGATAAGGCATTGAATATTTCTTCAGCTCTCTCTAAACTCCCACACTTGCAGTACATGTGGATCAACGAGGTTTGAGTTTGCAAGTCTGATTGAAACCCATAAGCATCTATGTGTTCAATAATTTGTTCAGCAGCAGAGAGTGAACCAATGGCAGCACAAGCTGATAGTATGGTGATGATTGTTATCTTGTTTGGTGGCAAATCTGTACTTATCATATCCTCAAAAAGATCTAATGCTGTTCTTGAGAGATCAGCATGAACATAGCCACCAATCATTGAAGTCCAAAGGAGGACATCCTTGTTAGTGACAGAATCAAAAAACTTTCTAGCAGAAAATATATCACCACATTTTGCAAGCATATTAACTACTGCAGCAGCAACATTAGGTTTGCAATCGAAACCATTTCTGATCAAAAGAGAAAGCACAGAGGATGCTATCAGCAATCTTCCTAAAAGAGCACAAGATGAAATAAGATTGACAAATACAATGGCATCCAGACCTATCTGTTTCAAGCGTATTTGATTGAAGAGATTCAGCACCATAAAACAATCTCCAAGCTTTGCATAGCCACCAAAGATGGTGGTGTAAGTGATGGCTGATCTTTCCTTCATTGAATCAAATAGAGATATCGCATCATGGATTAAATTGAACCTCACATACATACCTAGAATTGAATTCGAAAGGCGTAAATCTGAATGAAACCCAAGTTTAGTACCAAAACAATGGACCGATTTACCCTGCTGTAGGGCAGAAGTTGAGCCAGAACATCCTGATACAAGGCTGACGCAAGTGCTTGAGGATGGAATGAAACAACAAGAGCGCATTTCATTGAAATGCCGAAACGACTCGTCTATCTGGAACTCCTTGGCATAAGCAGAGATCATAGAGTTCCAGGAAACCACGCTTTTGCTTGGCATTTCATCAAACATCTGTCGTGCCTCGGACAAGAAAGAGCATTTGGAATACATATCCAAAAGAGAAGTCTGAACAAAGACATCGGATTGGAAACCAAGTAAGATTACATGGGATTGGACTTTTCTGCCAGACCATAAGGAAGCCAGCTGAGCGCAGGCCTTCACCACGAAAGTAAATGTAAGGTGGTCTCCGTGACAACCAGACTTCAGCAATGAAGAGTAGAGATCAAGGGATTCTAAGAAGAAACCATCTTTGGTAGAGCTTTCGATTAGTAGATTCCATTTCCGGCGAGGAGCGAACTGCATAGAGGTGAAGACCGGGTTTGTGAAGGTTCAATTCGGCGCGTAAGAACATAAACTGATTCATGCAACAAATCATACAAGCAAACTTTACCTTCTCTACCCATCTATGTTTACTTTAGTTGATGGGCGTGCTCGGTTGGGAACCTATCATCAATCGCCCGTTCAATGGGCCCCAAAGCGCAGGCTGCGAGTACAGTGGTGTTGGTGGCCCGGTAGGTCGGCCAAGATTTAAGGACCGCCAAACACGTTCTATGAAGCCGAGTGTGACATCAGACGGTTCCTCGTCACAATATATATATATATATATATATTTCACACATGCTGCACAACTTTTCAGCACTGAAGTCTTATTTTTGAGGCCGTGTGCACTTAGAGATTATTCTGTGCGGTGTTCGAATACGTCCAAAGGTCATGATGCATCATGTCATCCAATGCACTGTGATGATGCGTCCAAATTGACCTCTAAACTCATTTGAACACCACACATAATAATTTTTCTTATTCATGAGTGTAAAATTTGTTATAAATTCACTCAATGTCAACCAGCTCTAAATTGCCGCAGTAAGCTTTGGTTATAATTTTATTACTATTTTAAATATTTGGGCAAATTACATACATAAAATTAATTTTCTTTAAGTATTCATTTTATTTATTTTTAACTATTAAATTTAGAAATTTGCATATCACAATTAAACCGTTAAATTTTGACAAATGTGAAAAACAGTTTATTAGAATTTTATTATAAATTTCAATGTTTAGACCGAGAATATGAAGAATGAATAAGAGAGGATATTAGTTTTATAAATAATTAAATTTAAGTTTTTGTACATGTAATTACACCACTATTAATTTTTGTGGCTGAAGCTATTTTTTGCAATCATAGATATTAGAGTTCAATAAATTTATGAATGTTGCTATTTTATTTTTTCCTCAAAAATATATATTTTACATAATAATCATGATAATATTTGAAAAATAATAATTTTCTCTTAGCAATTACACCTGCAGATGCGTACTATTAAATTGCTTTAGTAAAATTACAATATAAATTATTTGATAAACCGTGTATTCTTGTAATTTAAAATTAAATTTAATAGTAAAAAACCATAAAAATTCAGAATAGGACATCATAAAGCAAATTTTCTTCTTTAAAACTAACACTTATTCTTATTTATAGCTATGGGATTTCAGCCCCAGCCTTCTTTTAAGCCCGTACATTGGAAGTAATTATTGTGTCCGGACACCGAACGCGTCTAGAGACCAATAACAAAGCGGCACATCACTTGGGCACTCAGTACCATACTTGGTACAGCACTTGGTATTGCTCGGTATTTGTCCGGATTTTCAATTTTTTATCGGGATGTAATAACTTTTCCCTATTATATATTGGACCCATTGGACACCACCCAGCATTCATTCCAGCGCATCACAAGGGCTGCATACTATACGAACTTTATCATTTTATAAAACCTGTTTTAATCTACAAAGCAATAAAATAGAAGCCTAAGACTTCATTTGGGATGTCTTTCTTACTGCTTCTTAAAGGATTCTTTTTAGTATAAAAATTTAAGAAGCAATAAGAAAATTGTTCCAAATAAAGTCTAAGATGACTTAAAACTATACAAACTTCAAAATAAGACATCCACAGACCAGAACCGCTACAACAAAGAAATATAAATCACAATTCCTGCTTCCTTTAAGTTTGGCAACAAAGGATTATTCTAGTTTAAAGAACAGACCCTATGAAAGATGGGGTATCCTCTCGGCTTCGATTTCCAATGCAGCCAAAAAATTATCTCCCCATCTTGGGATTAAATACATATTACATATTGCTAAGACTACCAGACCAATTTTAGTGAAACGAAATTTTACATCAACTGCAATGAAAATTATTCTCCCTAAATTATGAAGCAGGAATATTTGAATCTTCTTCCCACAACTCTTCAAATTCCATCATGAAATCGCCATTGTTAACATCGTCAACCTCATGGGAAGATCTATCTTGCAGCATCTGAAATTTGTCAAACCTTAGCAGAAAAAATGAAGGAATTTATCTGAAAGTAACAAATGAAAGCATAGAGCGATGCAATTAAGAAATTAATTAATTAACAGTATCGAAAATGTAGCAGCACACAGAGGGTTTAGAGTTGCTGGTCTTTGAAAGTAGGGAGTTTTCAACTTCAGCGACCCGCTGATTGGTTCCTGATACAATCTATTTTCAGACATCTGATGAAGAAATTAGTTGCATAGCAAACACCGGTGGCTTTAGCAAGGGAAATTATTCTGTGCGGAGTCCGAACATAGAGAATCTTTCAAATTATTCTGTATCCTATGCGTAAGCTCTGTGTACGCACTACGTATTTACTGCTATATAATGCGTATTTGTAGATACGCAGTAAATTAGCAGCAAATAATTAGTTGTGAGGATTTGCTGCTTATTTGCTGTGTGAGCAGAGCATAAGTGAAGATCCTCTACATTCGAAACCCCGCGCAGAATAATTTCCCCTTTAGCAGATACATAATTAATTGCAGCAAATAGGAGTTTTATGTTTGTTTCCTACAGTTGGAAATATTAAATCATTTAGAAAAATAAAAATAAAAGAAAGATCCTTACGTTTGACTTCTGGAGCTCCGAAACAACATTAAGCAGCCTGCTGTACTGGTCTCTTGCTTCAGGGTACTGAACCATGGATTTGACCCTTGAAAGTGCTTTTTGCATCCGAGCCTCTGCCTGCTTTCTGCCTTCTTGTAAAAAATCGTAATCTTCTTCTTTTTGGGGCTGTGCTTCTTGACCTGAAGAGCCCTCAAGCAGGCCTTCTGATCGAAACCCACGCAGACCACTCCCTTTTCGTCTCCAGCGAAGTATTACTTTCTCCATAATGCCTACTGTCCAGACAATCTTTTTGTATCGCTTCCTCACTTGGTGACCACGTATATGGGCCTAAGTTTTTACCAGATGAGTAAAAGAATAAATAAACTTTAATGAATAAAATCCTAAAACAAAAACAAAGGAGGTTAAGAAATATAAAATAGGAAAAAAAAATAAAAATAGAGAATACACTAATGAAGGAAGTCAGAAACTCCCAAAATTGGAAGAAATGCTGGCCTACGTTTCTTTGATCATTGATCCTATGAATCAAAGTCAGAAACTCCCGAAATTGGAAAAAATAAAAATAAATCATTAATTAACTAACCAATTTATTAAAAGAAATTCTATTATGTTATTGATAAAAAATATTTTTATTTAATTTATTTCTAATTTGCTCTCTGAAAATTCTGCAATAGCTCTCCAATAGAAAATTCTCCTTTTTTTTTAATAGAAAAATCTGACAGTCTCCTGGCATCTCCTCCCTATGAGGGGAGATCGAGATGTCACTTGCCGTTGATTCTTCCAACCCGGATCAAAGATCAACGGCACGAAGGCTTCGATTTTAAAATTCATCTCGCCCGGATCAAAGATCAAAGACGCAAGGCTTTCGAGTTTAAAATTCATCTTGCCCAGATCAAAGATAAACGGCGCGAGGCCTTCCAGTTTAAATTCATTCTGCCTGGATCAAAGATCAATGTGCGCGAGGCCTTTGGTTCGGCTTAGCATGCGGGATGGAGAGCAAGGTGGAGGACGGCCGTGCGTATGGGATAGGGAGCAGGGTAGGTGAGGCGGCTTGTGCGTGAGGGTGTTGCTCGTGCTGGGCGGAGTTGGACGGAGATAGGGAGTGGGTAGAAGGAAGAGAGTGTGACGGAACAGTTCAATTACCTGTAAGTTTCATTTTCCCTATCTTTCATCCATCCATTTATCGAATGGGTACGTTGCTTTCAGAAATATGCACTGTTTGATATGAAACAACGCTTTTTTTTTTTTAATTTCGTTTCTCTTTTTTCTTTTTTTTAAATTAGCTAACAACTCCTCACCACATCATTCTTCCAAGGTAGGAGAAGACTTATCCTCGATATTTAGTTCTTTTTCATAGTCATAGTAGGGTGAAACGTCAACTACATTGAAGGTGGCCGAAATATTTACATCCATCAGCTTTCAGTTTAAGTGTAGCAATAGGTCCAGCAGATGCGAGATTTATTGCTTTTCATCTGATATTGTGTATTTTTCTTCTTAGTCATATTTTGAACTTGATAATGCAGATTTTAATCTCCTCAGTTCATTTAACTCCATTAACAGTAAATTTTGAAGTGATAATCACGGGAGTCCAATCTAAGGGGGTGTTAAGATTCTGACCATATATAATCTCAAAAGGACTTCAACTTGTAGTTTGATTGATGGACCAATTGTAAGCAAACACAGCTTGGGCAAAGGTAAGATCACACTGCTTTATATTTTTTACTGCAGAACATCATCATACGTTTCCTAGACTATGAATGACATGCTTTATTTGGCTATTCGTCTAAGGGTGAGCAGTTGAGCTAAAATTTAGTTTAGTTCCAAATTTCTCCATAAAGTTCTTCAAAAATGACTAAAAATGAACATGTCAATATAAAGTAATAATTCATAGGATTCCAAGCAAAAGAATGACCTCTTGAAAATATAAGTCAATAATATAGGAAACATCATGAGTTTTATGACATGGAATAAAAAGAGCTATTTCAGAAAAACCGATACACTACTATGATAGAGTCCTTATGTCGTTTGGTATTTGGAAGTCCTATCACAAAATCTATACCTACATCTACCCTGAGTAACTCAAGTACAGGAAAGGGAGTGTATGTCCTCCTGGTTTTAGCTTATGTGGCACACCCAACATTTTGTTTAGGAATCGATCAACAATCAAGTTGAATAGATGACCAATAAAAATTTTTGTGAATAAGGGCAATGATTTTATCACAACTGAAATACCCCCTAATCGTCCATCATGACACACAACATTTTATCGCAATGAACAATGCAGAATACAAACACAATTAAGAAAAAAAAAAGTATCCATCTTGAATTTAATAGAACATATGGGTTCCGACTTGGCATAGATTCCATTTTTTCACAAAATTCAACTCCCCAGGATAAAGATTTTTTATTGCTTCAAACCCTATGACTTTAGACTGAAAGGGCTCCAAGAAGTGTATAAAATCGCCTCAAAGTGCCAGCAACCTGGTTTTGAATATCAAACTTGAAACTTAGCCCACTTGGCATGTCTTCACTTAAGTTATTTATTTATTTATTTATTTTTATTTATTTTAATTTTTTATGTCTTCCATTAAGCTTTTTTTTTTTTTTTAAAGGTCTTCCCTTAAGCTTATTCTTACATTGAAGGCATTTTAGGGTTCATGGCTTGTATATAAAATGAATTTATTAGACAATAGCTAATGATTTCAGCCCTCTAAGAACGGAAGATAGCATAAAATTTCTTATCGTAAGTAGAGTACTTGTGTAGTGCCTCATTTAAATTTTCACTAACATAGGCAACTAGATGCCAATTTTGACAACATGACACCTATACCCATGTTTGAGACATCACAATCAACTTCAAAGATATAATTGAAATAAGGGCAAGAACTGGGGCATTGGTTATAATTTGTTTTAAGTTTTTTGAAACTAGGTTGAGCTACAAGTATCCAAATGAATTTATCTTCCTTAAGAACATCAAATAATGGAGTAGCCACAAAGGGAAAAATCATAATAACATGTTGAGAGAAGGACATCAAGCCATGAAAACTTCGTACATCGATGAAAGATTGTGACATAAGCTAATCTAATATGTCTTGAATAATTACTTGGTCCATTTCAATCCCAACACTAGAGATAACGTACAATAGAAAATCGATTTTGATAGCTAAAAAATCTATTAAATAGGATTGCCATATAACTTCTCTAGTTGTAGGGATACAAAAAGTTGACTTAAATAATATAAATCCTCCTCCATAAAGCAATTGCAAACAAGGATATCATCAAAATATATCATGACAAATTTTCTCATGAAGGGGTCTACACACTTGAGTCATCAAGTGCATAGAAGTGTCGGGAGCAATATGTAGACCAAAAGATACCACCATCCGCTCATATAACATCTAGTGTTTTGAAAGTAGTCTTCCCTTCATCTCCTAGTTCATTTATATTTGATGTCACCTATTGCGTAAATCAATTTTGGAAATGAAACATGCTCCATGTAATTGATCAAATAAGTCATCTAGTAGTGGGATTGAAAATCAATATTTTATCACAATCTTATTAACTTCTTAACTATCTATACACATACGCTATATGCCGTTTTTTTAGATAAATAAAGTAGGACCTGCATAAGAACTAGCGCTTTCTCAAAAATCAAACCTTTAGCCAGGTGTTTTTCTACTTAGTTTGTAATTTTTCATACTCCTTAGGTCTCATACGATAGGCTAGATGATAACAAAAAACAACACTAAGGACAAAATCAATCATACTTTGTACATCATCTCACATCTGAGATAATCCTAGGGGTAATTATGTGGGGAATACATATTAAAAATTTTGTAGTAAAGGTTGAATCTTTTGGGATATGTTCCTCTTCTTGATTTCCTTCCATAACTACAAAGGCATAAGTAGATGAAGCTTCTAGCACTGCTTTTAGGAACATAGATTTAGAAGCTATAACATTGACTCCAACCTTTTCCTTAATGTCATCTTTCATTGACATCAAAATCACCTTCTTGCCTTCATATTCTAAAGTACAAGTATTTTTAAAACCATCATAGATGATATGCCTATCATATTTTCATGATCTTCTTGATAATAAATGATAGGCATCCATGGAAATCACATCACATAACACCTCATCTTGCAACTTCTTACTAATGAAAAATTGCACTAAACATCATTTTGTTATTTTTTTATCTCATTTCATTTATATAGCAAGGATAATCTATAGGATGTAGAGTGCTCCTAAGTAGATATATTTAATTTTTCAATCATCTGACTAGAGACGGTATTCTCAAAACTTCACTTGTCAATAATCATATCACACACTTTCCCTTACACGTAACATCTAGTATGAAAAATGTTGTGTACATCTAGTATGAAAAATGTTGTGTCAATATAAATCATACTTTGGATCTATAATTTTGCTTAAAACTCTTCAAATCACAAAAAAGCTTTTCATTATCCATATATACTGATTGCTCAGCATTATCATTAGGGGGTCTTCTACTTAGTATTTTCCTTAGGTGGGGCCTCCTCAACTATAGACACACCACGTTGATTTAAACAATTTGACCCAATGTTTAAATCCTAAGCATCTAAAGAACTTTGTGAATGAATTGTTAGTATTTGAAGTGTTGGCTTTATAGCTCCTTGATGCTTTGGAATGATTTGGTCCTCACAGCGTCATCACAAAATTCCTTACAATCTTTACAAAAAAATTTCCCTGAAACAAAAGAAAAGTTATTAGTATTGATACGCTGTCATTCTATTATATCATTAAAGCTAATTTAGTGACTTCACATAACGTTCAATATTGCTGTAGTTGTATGATATTTGCAATCGAAAAACACAAAGTGCCAATGAACTGGGCAATGGTATACTCCTCGAGTTTGACATTGCATTTCAACATTCATTGTTCAAATTCAACCACGTATTCTTCTATGAACAAACTAATTATGAAGTTTAACGAAGACGTCACGCTTAAAACGAGTTGGCAAGTACCTTTTATGTAATTCTTTTTTTTCATTTTCTCTCACGTGATGGTTTTATTCCTACCCTCTCTTGCTCTTATTCATTTAAGATTTCCCATCAAATGGATTCAATTTTATTTAACTTGATGGATACTATTCTACACACTTATCAATAGATATATCTTCATATTTAAACACGCACTCCACCATATGCAACCGAACTATAAGTCATCAGTATTTAATCCGCCCTTACAATTAAGAATGTCTACCTTAACCCCAAAATCTTGATAGCATCATATTGGTTCTCTTCTAAGATAAGGTTCGCCCTCTTTGAATGATTTCAAAGTAATTGATCGAAACGTTCTTCATTAGAGTGAAATGAAAGAGATTCTCATTCACAACCTTTATATGCCATTAATCTATTTTGTAATTGTTGAATTTCATAATGTAATTCTTCCATAGCTATTTCTTGATTTTTGTGGGGTTAGTTTCTTCAAGGCAGCAACCTATGTGATGTAGAACTTCATGCATAAGAAAATGTATTAGCTTTGAAATTACACACTTTGTGATGAATCAATAGCAGTTATACAACTTCCCATGGATTAAACAATAGATTGAACACAATAAAGCAATGATTAGGCGTAGACAATTGAATACACGATAACTGTTAGGAGCACAAAACAACCAATTCAAATAAAGCTTTGCATCACGTGGGGGTTTTCAAAGGAAATCCCTAGATTAAAAGTTAGACTAATCAATATTAATATCCCTCACTCACACTCTTAATAATTGGTTAGGCGGAGAAAGTTTGCATAATCTTCATGATGCCACAATTAATGAAGACTTAGAAGAAATAAGAATCGGGAGAGAGCTCACCTTCGTCAGGATTCGGAAGAGAGTTTCCACTTAACGAGAGGTTGTCGTTAATCAATAGTGGTTGCAAGGGAGAAGATGATTCGTTCCACATATTCTTCGGTGGAGTAGTAGTTATCAAGATCTACGTCGAAGAACGGAGATCGGTGAATGTCGATTAATCCTTGATCGTCAAATACGAAGCCGTAATCAAGCTCCTGATTGGCCATTCATGAGTAGACAGCAAACTATGGGGTGCTGGAGCTTCTGGACACAAAGGAAGATCTTCCGGATAGCAGGGCAGTAGGCGGCCTTGCTTAAATTTTTGAGCAGCAGGTAGAACTTTATGGACAACAAATTGGCTGGCTATGGGATGCGGGACAGCAAGTTTATGTTTGCTGGAATTTCTGGACAACAGCTTTAAAATGTCCAGGAAATCTGGACAGCAGCATTGGGAGATCAAAATCCTGGAATAGAGCTATTTGAGAAGAGAGCACTCGGTTATTGCCTTGTGGAAGCATGGGGGCTGGTGGTTAGGCTGAGTGGGGGATTTAATTGGAGGGATTCAGAAGCTTGCTAAGGATAGAATATTAAATAAAGGAGGAATTATGGCTAGTTGCAAAAGAGGGAACTTGAAGGGGGAAAGTGGGATGATCGGCGGCTTGGTGGAGGATTTGGATGGTAGTGAAGGGGAGGGGGTGCTTGGCCGGCGACTTTTGGAAGGGTTTGGCCGGCAGTTTGTGGAGAAGAGGGAGGGGTAAGTGCAGGAAATTTTCTTCATAATAATCATCATCATCCAAAGAGGAGAAGGGAACTATAAATAGTCAAAATATAATAATAATTCTAAAAACAAAAGTACCCCCTGGGGTCATATGAACCTACTCCCTCAAATGAGGGTAAAAACAGAAAAATGCATAAATAAATTAAATACAAATAATAACTCAAAAATAAAGTGGTCTAATTATGACCGCAGATCTTCAACCTCTTCTTTGATAAACTTTCCACGATCGGATGATTTCATCACTATTTCTAAGGTTTTGATGCCAAAATTTGAAATCGATATAAGATTTGAACACTCAAGAACACTTTTACAACAAACCCTAAATAACCTAGGAAAAAAAACAAGAAGAAATTTGAACTCTAAATCCACACCCAATGGAAATATCTAAACACAATTTGCATCAAGTTATTAACTTTCACTTTAGCATTTTCTCCCTAAATCGAACCCAAATTTTCTTGCAGGATGAAGTTGTAACTCCAACAGCCCCATAAGTTGTTGTCTATCCTGTTATAGTCTTCTTGATCTTGTTCTATGAAAAAATTAGTTTATCAAGGATCCCAGCTGATGGTGGCAAACAGGTTGCTGGTCACCAGCAATCAACATCAAAGTCCAGACCAAATGGAATAGACTTTTTCTTAAACTGAAAGAATTAAATGAAGAAAATGGATTGGAAAACAGAGAACCTGATGTAGAAGGTTTCTTGCAATCCTTATTCTCTAACTGCTGATTCCGAACACTCTCCTCCCAAAGTGGGCTATTCCAAATCAGCTTGAAACAATGATTACTGGAATTCCAGGAACCTACACTTTAATCAAGAAAAGATAGGGTAGATCACTATGCTTTTTTTTTGGCAGAACTTCACAATTTTCCTTCAGTTTTGAGAAAGGCATATTCTTCCTAGTGCTTCCTAGTTGTCTAGAGGCATATCTTGGCTGGTAACTATGGCTCCAGGCCCCAAGAAAGCCTTCAAACCTGGAATTATAAGCATGCAGCTGCCTGAAATCCCTTCGCAACCAAGTGTCACTACTAGAACCTATTGCAGCGGCCAAGGACGACTAGGAAGAAGATATCTACAACTCCAGTGATCGATATTGGTGGAGTCCCAGACCCTACTACAATCTCCTTCTATACTTCCTTCTCCAACATAGGGGAATCCACCCTAGGGGTATAAGTGAGTCGAGCCAGCTCGCGAGCTGGCTCGAGCTCGACTCGTTAACAAGCTCGCGAGCCGAGCTTATCGAGTCACAAGCTCGAGCTCGAGCTCAAACTCAAGCTCATTTATTAAATGAGCTTGAATTCGAGCTTGATGAGGCTCGGCTCGTGAGCTCGCGAGCCGGCTCGAAATTATTAAATTTAAATAATTTAAAAAATGAATAATAATTTCAGGCCTGTATTTTTAATTCCTGCCCGATATTTTAGAAATCTCACCCAGTATTTTAAATTCCCGCCAAATGTACTCTGGCTCAAATGCTAATCGCCTGCCCATCTCTCTCTCTCCCTCTTCTCTGACAGCCACAGAATAATAAATGACAAACTCAAAAAATATGCTCTGCTCTCTGCTCTCTCTCTCTCTCTCTCTCTCTCTCTCTCTCCGGTGCAGTTGTAAAAGACAGCGAATCAAAATTTTAAGACAGGGAATAAATCTCTTCCTCCCACGTGTATTTCGAGAATCCACCGGTGAACCAAACCACGCCAGAGGCTCGACAAGCGGCTCGAACTCGTTTACGGTGGAACGACTCAAGCTCGAGCTCAACTTGAGTTCGAGCTCAAGCTTGAGCTCGGCATTTGACAGTTGAGCTCAACTCGAACAACCCCTGACTCAAGCTCGACTCGACTCATTTGCACCCCTAATCCACCCCAAATCAACAGGGAATTCCTTACCTAAATCAGGATATAACTTGAGACAAACTCTCAAGAAAAAACTGCTATCCTAATATAAGGCTCGTGTATTTATAGGAAAAACCTAATAACTCAAAAGACAATAATTATTAAACTACCCCTAATAAGAGAAAAAACTAAAAAGAGACTTAAACAAAAATATATAAAATAATAATAACCCTCCTAACGACATCATCCTCCCTCACCCAACAAAAACACATAAACATTGCGCCACTAAGAAGGAAAAAAAGCTGAAAGATTCAATTTTAGCTACAGGACCTACTCAATTCTTGTGTCAGCAAAGCCCTTTGTCCTAGAGCTAACAATATTAGCAAAGAGAAAGGGTGCAAGAGCTAAAATAAGAAGGGCCTAGCTAGATTAGCCTTTTCTTAGAAAGAAAGCAAACGCTTTCAACACATGGCTTCATTCAATTCTTTGGCTAAACTCGGCAAGAGAATCTCAAAGAATAAAGAAAATTAATGGTTTAGCTGCATTTGAACATCTCAGGGCGAACACTAGATTGTATCAGAAAAACCAGAGAACAATCTCAAGAAACCAATGCATGAGGACGACCACAATGAAAATGATTCAAGAACATCCATGCCAACACCACACCAGGATTTATAGCACAAAAAAAGAAAAAAAAAGAATCACCTGGATTTTCACGATTCTCTTTCGAATTATAAGAAACTCTTTCCTCCCTTTCCATCCACGAAATTTGTTTTGGATACGAATTGCAGCAACATGGGCAGGTGTATTATGCTCTCCAGTTGTATTCGCTTTGATAGATATACGCGACAAAGCTTGCTTATCAGATATTCCGGACATTTCTTCATTATACTGCAGTAATTTCTTTCTCTGGAATGATTGGACTCTAAAAACTTGGTGAATGCGAGCTGCAGCAAGAGTGGCCTTACGAACAGCAGTGAGCGAGTCCTTCATAGAAGGTTCACCCGGTGCATTTACATCATATTTTTCCACAAAATCTTCCATATCCTTCGTACAAGTAACTTCAGATATAACAACATTGTCAGTATTCTTCAAGGTAAGGGTTTCAAGATGTGCGGTAAGAGAAGACTCAGCAAGAAAGCCTGCAATCCCTTTGTGTCCATTTGCAGATGCCAGATCTGCTGGCGTTCTCCCAGATGGGAACTCTGGAGTTGGATCGGTCAATGCGCCAGAGGCTGCACCAAGTGTGACAAGGGATACCACGGTCCGTTCTCTGCAAACACAATAGATGCAAATCACTCTTCAGGGTATTAGACATAGAGAGTAGGCTTAGGCTTCGTTTGGAACGACTTTCTTACCGTTTCTAAAAGCAGCTCTTTAGTAAAAAATTTTAATTTTTTACTAAAAAATTGCTTTAAAAAGCAATAAAAAAGCTGTCCAAAATAGAGCCTTAGTAAGATTGCCAAAATAAATTGAAGCGAGTGTCCAACCTTGATATTTACCTGCCACAAAAAGCTGCCCAATGAAGCGCTGTCCATCCTCGTACATCTCTAAAATTAATACCTACACCTGCAGTGATTGTTGGCTTTATAGCCCAATCGTAACCAACAGCTGCCGCTAAATGAAGCACGCCTTGGCCTTCTTTGTCAAGAACACAGGGTCCTTTGCCACCCTCGGCAATCTTCCTAAGAAGCCAATCATGCAACTGTTCTTTCAATAATGTTTGAAGGACACGATCTTTTGAACTATCAGCACAAAACTCTTCACCACTAGTTGTTTCAAGCATATTTAACCATTCATCATCAGAATCCATAAGAAGTGAACTAATTTTATAGCTTAGGTTAATTTTCTCCTCTGTCATGTTATCAACAGGAGTTGATTGGTCCGAATAACCAAGTGATAAGAGCTTCCCAAGACGTACATGAAGATACAGTTCATTTATGTGGCTGTGGGAATCTGTAGTGTCCATGCATTGAGGATAATTATCTCGGAATTCAAATTCTCGCACTTCACTACATGCCAATCTATTAGAACAGGTTATGTAGAAAGGAACAGTTCCAGATTTATGTAAAGGAGTATCACAGCGCAAAACACCACCAGCTATGATTTCTGCAGGAACTTCTACTTCACCAAACATGCAAGACCATTTACAATTCTCCAGGTCTTTACGATCCTTCAAGAACGTTCCAGTAATAAGAACCTATTAAAATCATAAAATAGATGTAAGGAGCTAAAATTTTGCCAGCAATGTGCAAAGGCTTCTTAAAGCAAAGCCTGAGAATATTAAAGGCAAGAAATAAAAAAAATAAAAATAAACCAAGTGGAGATTATCATACTTTGGTTTCAAAACCAGTAAATGCCCAGTTTGGAGAAAAATCTAAAATACTAAAAAGTTGATCTTGAGAAACTGAGGGACTCATTGTATATGAATCCAAATGTTCAGCAGTGGTCATGCTAGAATCCTCAACATTCTCACTTTCAATGAAGTTCCAATAGGACTGAGAACTAGATTTCATATGTGAATCATCTACCTCTCCAAGTTCTTTACTCATCCATCTAGAGAAGCTATCATATTTTTTTAAGCCATCTCCTCCAACATTAGAGAGGTCCAATGATGCCTGTTTTAAAAGGGAGGGGCCATTCATCTTTCCATTAAGAGAAAGGTCATTTTGTGAAGCTGTTTTGAACAAAACAAGAGAACCTTCGGAATCCAATATCTGCATCACAAAATGCTGTCATTTCTTTAGTCACAACAAGACAATTAACGGATGGAATAATGCTTAAAATCCTTCCAAAATTGTAACTAATACACTTTTAGAGAAAGAAAAATAGACAAGCTACACTGAGAAAAATAAAAATGAAACTAGAATGGCTGGTCGATAACAGCCAAAAAAATCTTCACAAAAACTGAGATGAGACCAGTAGTGAGTATGCCATGAGAATCAGGAAAACAAATCATGTGTAGAAGTGATATGCAACTCATTGTGAAGAAGTTTGCTAATCTACAAAATTGGTTTAGTTCTATGATTCATGCACAAGAAACAGAGAGCCAAATGACACGATAAAAAGTCTCGAAAAATAGGATTAAAATTTGCATCATTCAAGCAATAAATCTCTCTATCTGTAAGTTTAATGCACACATTCCTGAACAATAGGAGTTCAAATCCTCAATTTCATTCATTCATGTTGAGGACTACCTAAGTAATTATATTTTGTGCTATGCACGCCCTAAAAACTGAAATCTCTCAATAGGTACTACTACAATTCATGTCATATGATCATTTCAAAATCTATCATTCCTATAGTGTTGTCATATATCTATCATAACATTATTATTTTTGTCACATTGAACTTGGCTATATGTGTCATCTTTATCACCCAATAAAGAGAAGCAAACAATTGCAATTTTATAACTTTACTTCAGAGATAACTTCAACAAATTGGAAACAGTCATAAACAATAAAATAAAATATAACAAAGTAGAATATCTTCAATAATGAAAATTATTATAATAATAAATATTGCAGATTCCTACTACACATAATTTGCACAAATGATAATTGATATACAGTAGCTAGACCAAATATTGATGCTTAATATAATCTTATTATAATTGAAAACTATTTGACCACTCTATAACTACTTTTAATGCATGTGAATGCTCAACTATACATATATTTAATGATTCCTCAATTACTTGTATGTGATCAATTTAATCCAGAGTACCACATTTCTTCAATCTAATCTATTGAGTATTCAAAATTAATCCAAAATAGTCTCTCAGGATTAAATTGGGATCAATTTTGTATACTGGAGGGATTAAATTGGGATCAATTTTGTATCATAATTTCTACACGAGTGATAATTTTGAATCAATTTTGTATAATCGAGAAACTAAATTGAATAAATATGATGCTTTAAAACTAAATTGGCCACATAGGATAGGTCAAGGGACTATTTTAGTATTTAATTTTATATTTAATAAATTCTAACATACCTTAGACACAATTTTTTCTTTAATGCTGCCAAATCAAATCTCACTATACTAAATCATATGCTGAGTCAAGATTATTAAAAGTCATATAGTGATTTTTAGTATTTATAATACCAACTATTGCCTTGGTAAAAGATTAGATTCATGGCGATCGTCCTGAGGGTTTAGGGTTTATAGCAATCTTCTTAAGATTTTCCCAACATCAGATGCAAATTCATTCCCTGACACGAAGATTATTTTTCTAAGCCTATGCTCCATTATTCTCTCCCATAAATTTGTTGACTCATAAATTTGATTTTCCTACAACTAATATTCCCTTTGTTGTAAGGCATTAATAGTAAAAGACTTCTTAATCACTTTCATCATCTAAGTCTTCAAGCTTAATAAAAAGATATTAATTACCAAGCAACACCTCCAAGCTTTATGCCATTTCTTCAAAGATAACTCAACTTCACTTTTTTGGATAAAATTATAATATATTTCATAATTTTATTCATTCTGCTCTTTTAAAAAAGATAATTCCTTAAAACCCTTATTTCATAGTTTTTTTAAAAATAAAAATTCCATTCTTCCATGATTTCAACATCATCAATTACTAAGATCTTATTAGTTTCTCTTCTAATACATCTAGCTTAATCAAAATCTTTAGAACTCCTATCATTTTCTTAGCTATTTATATATCTCTTTTTTTTCTTTTTTTTTTCTTACCTAGCCAATTATGTATATCATCAAAGTTGTAGCTTTCATTTTGCTTACTACACTCTTAGCAAATCTTTTGACTTTTAATACTCATTAAAAGCTTCAATATTGAAACTCCTCAATCCACCACCAAAGCTCTCACTTTTACGCAACTTAATTATTTCTAGACTTTCCTAAAGGTTTTTAATTCCTACATGTTTCCTTGATACACCACCAAAGCTTTCACTTTAACAATCTTCTTAATAAAATTAGCCCATGTATCCCATATGAAGTTTGGTGAACTATATAATTCAAATCCACCTCTCCAAACAACCTATCACAATAGCTAAGAAACTTATCATTCACGCTCCACCATCTTATGCTAAAAAATAATTTCTTTTGAATTTCTTTATAGTTCCAAGATACAAATCTATAACTTACTTCTAGAATCATCTTATAATCTTACATTTTCTTTTTTTCTTTCTTTCCAAGTAAGAAAAGCCCACCTGTTCTTTGGTAGATCTGCTTTCATAAGTAACCAATTGCAATTCTTATTTCTTAGTACATGCTTGAATCATGTGTTCATTTGAATTCAAATATATCTTCTCCTATCATATCATTATCTCCTACAAACCCACCATGAATACTCTCATATCTCATACTCTTAGCACATAAATGTCCATTTAAATCACCATCAATACTTATCATCTCTTACTCAAGTAAATATTATAACAGTTTAACAATCACTTTAAATTTAAGTTTTCAAACTTTCTTCTAATTCAATTAATGAGCATAAGCACTAACAATATTTGTAATATCTTCTCATCCACTACTTAGTTTTCACCATTGCTATAGTTAACCTTTCAAGTATGCAATACTTTACAACCTTCCATTATGCCTTAGAATTTCTCCCATCTCCTTTTAGTTTCTTGCAAGAATCTGATAGGAAATGCTTGTAGAAAAAAGAAAAACCTTGGCTGAATTTGAAATTCAACAATTTGCTAAAGCATAAATTAAGAGTAGACGGTGGAATAACAAAATAGGAACTCTTTTAACTGATAATAGTGGAAGAAAACAACAAGACACAATTGAGCCTCAATTGGAGAGGAGGATCTAGCCTCACAATCTCTAGATGCCGCTAGAGCCCAATTAAAACCTTAGAAGACTCCAAATTCTAGCAAAAGACAAGACAACCTAACCCTAGGAAAACATCCTACTTAAAGCATATAATTATAAAGGAATTCTCTAAACAGGCCCTCCTTTGAATTCTCACTCCTAAACCACCTAAAAAGCTTCCTAATTGATGCATGTTGGATCCCACATAGAGAGGTGAGATCTATTCGTGCGGAATAGGCATTCCTACCCCCCGAAGAAGAGTCTATCCTTTTGGACCGATCTAACGATACTCCCCTCCCAAAGACCCACCTTGTCCGTAAGGTGGAAAGTCGACACCCTCCTCCATTCTCTCGTCATCAAAAACAATGAGAACCTGAAGAGTTCAAACCTTACACCTATGCCCCGGTGTATACCTCTCCTCACATCTAAAACACAACCCTTTCGCCCTCTTCTCTTGTAGCTCTGTCTCTGTGATTTTCTTGAAGTTTTTCCCTGGTCTTCTGATGGATCGGACCGGCCGGTCCATCCTGCATCCGCACCGGCCCACAAGGGGCCGGTTCTCGCCTTTTACAGGCGGAGAAATCGCCCGCCTGGGCGCGGCCGAAGGAGAGGGAGGAGGCGGGTGGGCCCAAGAGGCCCACCAAATGTAAGTGGGAGTTTGTTTTGTTTGCCCTAGGGGTAATTAGGGTATTTTGGGGGGTTTCATGTGAGGGTTAAAGGGGAGTTAGGGTTGGTTTAAGAGGGATCTTGTTTTGGTGGCTGTTTTAGCTTTCTTCTTCTTTAGGGCTTGGGAGAAAGCTTCTCTTCTCGAATTGAGAGCATTGTATCCTTGGAAACTTGTAAGTCTTTTGATATTCAAGTTATTGAAGTGTTTGTGAGTGTTTTCATCCAAGAAATTTTGCATTTTTTTACCGTTTTTGGGCTGTTTTTCCTAGATTCCAAAAATTACAAACTAAGCTCCATCATCTTCCTCCTACGGTCTTCTCTTTTAGGGTCTCCTTAAGAGTACCCGGTGTTGTCACGACCCGACCCGACTAGCCCGAATTAACGGAGTGGGAACAGATAGTCGTACGATAAATAGTAAAATTTTAACATTTTACCAACATAAACATAAACTAAATTTCATTCCAAAACAATATAAAAGAGCCACTAATTCAACAAAGTGAAAGTTTCCAAATATCCTCAAACCATAACCACTAAGAACATCAACTGTGAAAGTCAACATAAACTTCAACAAACTTCTCAAATACAAACCACTGACTCAAACACAAAACATAAAATATAAAACGTTTCTTCCTAAGGTCCTCTACAACGGTAGGTGTACTGTCCTCTTGTAGCCATCACTTCTTAACACTATATCGTGAAAAATATTTCCAATAATAGGAGAAGTCAACGCTTAACAGGTGATAAACATTTATCTTAAATTCATGAAATATTTTTATTTTCTTTCTTAAACAAGTAATTAAGCATGCAAAATGAAACAATAAAAGATCATAATAAATATTTATATGCATGAATTATAAGACATTTTCATAATCATTTCTTAAAACATTTCTTTTAATCCTTCTTTCTTTATTTTTCATAAAACTTTCCTTTTCTTTAAATCCTTCTATAAAAATGCATAAATTTTATAATCATAATATAATAAGCACCCGTCCCGGAAGTATAGAGTTTTGTACTGATCAGGTACACAGTTATTGATCATTCCTTTACCATTTGGCTCCGAAGAACTTCATTACCATTTGGCTTCGTAAAACTCCATTACCATTTGACACCTTAAAACCCCATTACCATTTAGCACTTCCTGATCATCAGCACATGCATTTTATAATACTTATATTCATCAAGAATACTAAAAATTATTCATTACATCATAAGTTCTTTAATAATATTTGGGTAATAAAAATTTTTATATCTTATGCCTTAAGT